TACGCGATATTAGTTATTAAACAATACGATGTCTATCAGACAAAAAGCACGCGATATATAGTTATTAAACAATACGATGTCTATCAGACAAAAAGCACGCGATATATAGTTATTAAACAATACGATGTCTATCAGACAAAAAGCACGCGATATATAGTTATTAAACAATACGATGTCTATCAGACAAAAAGCACGCGATATATAGTTATTAAACAATACGATGTCTATCAGACAAAAAGCACGCGATATATAGTTATTAAACAATACGATGTCTATCAGACAAAAAGCACGCGATATATAGTTATTAAACAATACGATGTCTATCAGACAAAAAGCACGCGATATATAGTTATTAAACAATACGATGTCTATCAGACAAAAAGCACGCGATATATAGTTATTAAACAATACGATGTCTATCAGACAAAAAGCACGCGATATATAGTTATTAAACAATACGATGTCTATCAGACAAAAAGCACGCGATATATAGTTATTAAACAATACGATGTCTATCAGACAAAAAGCACGCGATATATAGTTATTAAACAATACGATGTCTATCAGACAAAAAGCACGCGATATATAGTTATTAAACAATACGATGTCTATCAGACAAAAAGCACGCGATATATAGTTATTAAACAATACGATGTCTATCAGACAAAAGCACGCGATATATAGTTATTAAACAATACGATGTCTATCAGACAAAAGCACGCGATATATAGTTATTAAACAATACGATGTCTATCAGACAAAAAGCACGCGATATATAGTTATTAAACAATACGATGTCTATCAGACAAAAAGCACGCGATATATAGTTATTAAACAATACGATGTCTATCAGACAAAAAGCACGCGATATATAGTTATTAAACAATACGATGTCTATCAGACAAAAGCACGCGATATATAGTTATTAAACAATACGATGTCTATCAGACAAAAGCACGCGATATATAGTTATTAAACAATACGATGTCTATCAGACAAAAGCACGCGATATATAGTTATTAAACAATACGATGTCTATCAGACAAAAGCACGCGATATATAGTTATTAAACAATACGATGTCTATCAGA